ACAGTTCTAATCGACTTTAACGTCGTTTTCTCTAACTTCATATAGTGCAAAATACAAGTTTTTTGTGTGGAAAACTCGAAGAATTAAACTTTATTTAGTACGAAAAGTTTTATTATTTCCATAAATAGATTAATAATTTCTGAGATTTAGACTGAAGTCCTGCTGAAACATCTCGGTCAACAATATTTTAATTGTACATATAATTCAATATACTTTCGTGTGTTTAAATTTACTCTAACTAAAAATAATTTTTGTTATCCATTAGTAATCTGCATTTATACGAAATATTTATAGTCTAAGTACTAAACATTGTAAACGTTAAGAATAAACATTGTAATAGTTACGATTTATTATTTTGTCTATCTCTTATGGAATCGATTGCCACTTCACTTTCAACTTTCAACACTCAATATAATATTCCATAGAATCATCAGTAGTGACAGAAATGGTAAAACATTTTTTAAATAAAGATCAATTACAGTTAATCGACGATAAATATGTTATATGAATCCATATATGGTATTAAAGATTCTGTACTAATTTTCCCAAATGTCTACGACATTTATCCACATTTCCAGAAGTAATCATATTCGTAAATCTGTTCGACAGAAACGGTTAATGTTTATTCAGTAAATTATTTGTCAGTTAGTATTGAGCATTACTTACTTTGGTGTATACACATCTTAAGTTTAATCAGTATAAACCATATAAAAATTTCTGTATTCAAATATAAAGTATTTAATTTTGATATCCAATGAATTTTCATTTATCGTTTTCGTATTCTTATTTCAGTTGTCCGATTCATGTATTCAAGAAGTCAGTAGCGGTATTTTAGAAGTACCACACTATTGTACTGAATCATGTGACCGTTTCTATTATTTAGCATTATCATTATTATTTGACGTCCCACTGATGATGACAACCATTTAAAGAAGATAGTCACACCTGAAGAATTAATCAAGACTATGCTGAACAATTTAAAATAACACAAAACAGGTTTGATCATTGCGAAATACTGATTTATCTCAGTGAAAATTAAATAGGCAGAACTATTCTTAAGTTGTTAACAAATTCCGTATCTTTTAAACTAAATGATAGGTCAAACAGGATGTTTTCATTCATTGAACTAGACATTCTCCCTAAGGTTCCATGTAATGGAAAGTTTTAATAGGAGCGTGTTCACTAATTTGATTTTTATTATATCCTGTAAACATACCTATTGGTCAAGTTTATTTGAGTTACCAAAGTTTCAGTGTCTTATGAAGCTAAAACTAAAATTATCGAAATAATGTTTTCTCAAAACACACAAACATATTTCGAGATATTTCTAATGATAATTTACTTAAGTTCACAACCCATGTATCTTTTCATAGTATGAAGAATTTAAAAAATGTCTAATACCGGTTACATAAATAAATTGAACTTATGAGTTTTGGGTAGTCTTTCAATCCTTGGTGTATTTGTTCATACAGACATTCAGAAAGATCAAATAACATTATTTGAAGCGACAACAAAAATTCTTCTGTGTTTGAGAGTCCTGTTTCACATTTCTCTATTTGATGACGTCTACTAACACTTCTAAATTTGGATTTCTGAGACGTTGTTTTCTTCGTATATTTCAAAACGTTATACGGTTCAGTGCAGTTAAATAAAGGGATCAGTGCAGAGCATACAATAATGGTTGAGAGGTCTAAACAATCATATATGTTTATGCCACCTCATATATAAAGAAAAGACATGAAATATGGTACATGAGATTATTACTGTAAGATCTTAACAAGTTACTGAAATGTTGAGAATATTTTTTTAAACAAAAATATTTTACATCCTGTTAACATATTACCCATCGAAACTTCTTCCACGACAATATATATATTGAAAATTCACACTGTTCCATTGTATAATATTAGTTGAAGAACTGATTGTCTGGAAGGACTTTACTGATATAAATGCGAATTTGAATAATTGCTAGTTAAAATTATGGAATTTTTTCAACATTCAATATGAATAGTAGAATAATATGAATTTATTTAACTCCGCCTGGAGCCCCTCTGGGGCTACTGCTGGTCGCAAGCCCGGATAAAGGAGGAGAGTTAGACATGGGGTTAGCGACCCCATCCCATAGAATACTAACTCGCTAAAAAAACGCTAACTAGTATGATTTCATTTATTTTGTCAATTTTCTTCATCTGCTTATGAACTAGAAATAGTGGTAATAATTATTATAAAAATCTAAGTCTACATTATATTATAAATGTATTGATTAGAGTTGACTTAGACGTGTACATGTTAGATAATTAAATGAATTCGATTCGATGAATATTACAGAAAAGAAACTGCAAAGAGTATGGTAACAGAACATATAGGGATTGAAGATTTTTGAAACAAATTATGTTATAAATGAAAAAATATACTACTTAATTAATGCATAGAATAAATAAATAAAGAATTAGTAATTATAATTAATGTAATGGAAATAAAACCATAAGTAATAACTATATGAAATCATCAAAATAAACTATAAGTGATGATTATATTATGACGGATGTATAACATTAGCTGCAGCAAGAAATAATAGATAAGCACCAATTTAAAATATTTTCTAATCGCCTACAATTATTGTAATAGTTGAATTAATGAGTCGATCTAAGCGATATCACCAATGAGAACCTGAAAGCATTGGACGACTATTTCCTCCTAGTGTGGGATTCTTTAGCAATACGCATTAATTCAACTGTGAAAATTTCTACAATCCCAACAAGTCGCCATTACTACAACTTTTGTCTTTTATTATTCTATATTGATCCATCCAATCTAAGTTTAATCAAGATATTTCTAATATAAAGTATGTAAAAATGGTTTTTTTAAAAATAATTATTATTGATATTCTCTTTAGTTTACAAGTAGTTGAAGAATGATCATGAATTCTTATCTATCTAAGTTTATAAATGAGAAGTCTATAAAATAAGTATACAAATGTGAATTGTTTGTTTTGAAGATTTGTCAAGACGGATTCACGATTCTGGAAACCTACTCCTCATAGTCTTGAGACATGAACTACTGTATAAAAGTGCCAGAAATATAAATTTCCTTGTAAATTTAGTCAGTACAATATGGCATTTGATAAATATTGTATTGGTTATGAGAAATATACATTACATTAAGTGACCGCTTTGTAATACTAAATGACTTATTAACTAAATCGTCGTACTCAGTGGACAATTCTAGTTTAGCTATCAATCTGGATAGGGCGCCAATACAATACATTTTTTAAAATGCTTTTCGGTAGGCGATAAAATATATCGACTTACGTACGATGCTAAGTGACATATATTAGTATAGGTTATCTGATTGATGGTTAAGCATAGTGAATATACTAGTTCAGTCTAAAATCATTTTTGATCGGAATACTTCTCTAGTATTTTTTGTAACTGTTAAACTAGGTGACATAAATTCAAATATCAATCCGCTAACGAATATCAATAATCCTTGTTGATACGTATTGACTAGTACAAAATTTAGGTTCATGACTTTCTGAAAACAGTATAAAACCATTTTTGATATAAAAATATTTACTTTGATTCTAGGGGGTTAAACAGTTTTTTATAGATTAACATAAGTAAGTTATATCCAATAGTAATTATATAATTAGTAATTATTTCTCAATAATTCCAACATTTCGTCCAGCTAACTTGTCTGGACTTCTTCAGGATAATAATCAAAATCATCAAAGAAGTATATAACGTTGTAACAATCAAACCAAATTCTCAATATTTTTATTAATTATCACATTAAATAACTGAGTTATTATTATTATCTTTCATTGTAATTTAATTTCAGTCAGTTCGATACTATTTGATTAAATGTTATGAGGTAATAAAGAAAGAAATTAGAAATCAGTAGTATATGTACAGATGACGTAAAAAATTTGTCTTAGAGATTATACATTAAAAATTGTGTTTAACATCATTTATTTAGTGTCATATATGTATATTTTTAGAAGTTATTGAATCGCGTTAACATTTTATAAAGTAGAGTGATAGATCTTCTATTAGCTATTACTTTACTCTATAATTTTTGTCAGTTTAGGGTTGTGGAGATTATTAAGTTTTTGATTGAAATAATGAACCGATTGATGTTGGACCACTATTGAAAACTTGAAAGCACTGGACCGCCGTTACGTCTTATTATGGGGCTCCTCAGTATCTACGATCCCGATCGAGAGATTCGAACTCAGCGCCTTCAGTCTCGTGCGCGAACGCTTAACCTCTAGACCACTCAGTTGGCATACAATGACGTCAATGTCCAACCTCAACCAATCCACGAGACTTAAGGCTCTGGGTTCAAATCCTGTGAGCGGGATCGTGAGTTCAAACTGCTGAGCAATCCCACATTAGGACGAAATGGCCGTCCAGTGCTTTCTGGTTTTCAATAGTGGTCTAACATCAATCGGTTAACTATCTCAATTGAAAACTATAATTTTCGATATGATTAAAATGTCACATTTGTTTGATACTAAAATTCCCAATTATTTCCGATATTACTTCATATATCATACATAATTATGTTTATGCATTTATTAATTCATTTTATGCTTGTTAATTAATTGACAACGTAGGTCTATATATATATTTTTTTCTACGATTACAATTGATATTATTATTGTATTCATTAAAGTTAAAGTCTATATGTAGAAGAAACTACCTATTCATATCTGAACGAAACATCTCAAAAGAAAACTCCTTAGATCACTTGGTATTGTTAGGCTTGCATCTTCCAATTAAGATTTAAGACTGCAATTGATCAGTCTGTTATTGGCATATGTGTATACTGTGCATATGCCTCGATATTACTTTAGACTTTAGAACACATTTCTACATCAACATAATATACAGTCATACATATTAAATATCTTTCTTATTTAAATATATATGTTATATTTATCATACACTTGTATCATTTATAAAAGTGAAGCCGAAAAAAAAGTAATAATAACTTACCTAAATATAAAAATGGTAGAATTTGTGAAATACTTGCACTTAAAACATCATCATTATTTTGTTGTATTTCATTTACTCGTAATGGTGTTTGTTTAATTCGTACAACTAATGTTTCATCACGTGAACAATCTTTTAAACAAGAAATAAGTTTTTCTGTATCATTTGATTCAAAATTATCTAATTTGTAACATGAAATATCATCTAAAAGTAACTTATTGTTAGTATTTACATTATTATTATGATTATTACCATTTAAAGAAATTACATTATCATTGAATACACGTGATACAATTGATGAAGCTTCAGAATTATCACTTAATGAAGGTGATGCAGCATCGGAACAAGAACTATCATCAGTAGTTATATAGTTAATAAAAAGTGGTATATTTCGATCAATGAATTCATGGGCATCTTGAAGACTTCTAAATGCTTCAAAACCTCCTATAAGTAACAAAAATAAATAAATAATCGTAATCAAACTTATGTAATATGTAAATGTTTGTAATTCACGTACAGTGCAAAAAATAGACAAATTACATTAATTATAAACTATATATAATGATGCTAGAATTAATTGCATAATATTTTTTCTATTTTTGATTATATTTATTATAGTGAATCATTTTTGTATCATATGTATACATCTATCAGACCAGTAAAAAAACGTAAGTAGCCTAAAAAGGTAAATTTTAGAATATGGAGTTGTTCAAACCTAAGAGAACTCTCATGTGTTTGTAGTGCACTTATGCCTAAGTTCAATCAGTATGCTTCTGTTTTATGACTTTATAGGAATAAATTCCAAAGTGTGTGAATTTATGTTTGTTTCCAGGTTGTAAGAGCATTTTACAAGTCATTTAATAGGATCTGTTAAAAGTATTTGCTCAACTCTTAACAAATCAAATAATCTCTAATTACTTAATTGATTAATAGAATTCAGCTTGCTTATAGGTTAACCTTTGTTTATTATTCTTGATTATATTTACTTAGGTATTGTAAGTGATTTAGACTACGGTTTATGTTCGAGAAAAGAAGTATTTTCCACTTATCCAAAATCTCTATCAACTTATGTAAATGAATATTTTTTTATTTATCATTTATGATTCCAAAAGTGATTTTTCGAGGTTCTAGAGACAATTCATGCCTTATAAAATGAATCATTTTATATATACGTGGAAATGAATGACAATCACAAGATATCACAAAAATTACTGTAATTGACAGTATACACCACTAACAGACTGTTATGCTGATATCACATGTGTTATACGATGCGATGATCCTGTTTTGACTCGATATCTAGTTACAGGTGAGTACGGTTGCGAAGTTCCGAATAAAAAGAAGCAGTATTTTACTGCTTTTTGATTTCTAATAGCTCTGCAATTAAATTCGAGCTTCAAAATGATATCTTGAAAATTCTTAAGGTCTCCTTTTTGTTTGTGAGTATGAATAAATAAAATATGTGATTATAATATCTTATTCCATTCTTAAAACTTTAGTATCACAGTTAAACGGTTAACCAATGCCAACTAAATTTTAATGATAAGGTTTTGATTCAGTCTGCCAGTTTACATCATTTGGTATCGAAGAGGAAGAGATTAAAAAACTGGCATAATCAAGTGAAATTACGAACTAGGTTCTTACAAAAACTAACTACTAGATAATTTATATAGGTTTGCAATTCACAATCTACTAATAGAACTCTTTGTAATATTTGTCAAGTAGAAATAATGAATCTTGTAATACTGCTTATAATATGTAAGAATATGCTTAAAATAATGCTCATTAAACTAACGTAATAAAATGATTGTGTAATCTTTTAATTATATGTGATTTCATGCCACAACTTACAATCAATACAGTCAATTGATTAACCAAAATATGTTGAACGGGAATGAAAATCAACACTTTTTTTAATTATTGTAAGAATCATCTACCTATTAAACTCAATAAATATAATGTTGCTTAGACTATTAGTTATAAAACTAACACTCAAGATAAAAGTCATACTGTCCACAATTTGAATTTACCTGACCTGATATACATGACATTGATCACCACTCAATAATCAATCAATTTTAAATACATCACAGTCCTACAAAAGGTCATTTGCAACCGAAATAGCTCAGTGATAACGTCTCTGACTGTGAAGCTGGGTTACACGAGATCGAATCCGTCAAGGAGCATCAGTTACCTCAAGATTACAGGTATACCTTGGTGACGAGTGCAAAGTAGCATGAAGTCTAGGTTCAGAGTTTCCTGTTGACTACTTCGAATCACCATCTTATTTCAATATAATGCACGCAATGTCGAGTCATCTAGACTGGCGGCTAGCTACACTAGGAAAGACCTGATATACATAACATTGATCACCACCCAATGATTAATCAATCGAGTTTATTTACATTTATTTATTTTCAATCTTTTGTCTTTTATTATTCGTCTAGAAATATACTTGTTTATTGCAAATAAAACAGTACAATGAAATCTGTTTGTTTTTATTACATACGAAGAAATCTCTAAATATCTTATTCTATTTAAAGAGAATATGAAATCTAACATCTTAAATCAATTACTCAAATAACAATGAAATTATCCAGTTTAGCAATAAATTTAATATCTTATTCTGCAAATACAAATTAATAAATCTAAATATAAATGAATGAGACTGTAAGAGTAATAAAGTACAACACACTGAACATATAACATGTATATGAATGTGAATATTTTTTCCATTTTAACTAAAATATCTAAAGTATCAAACTATTGTTTCCAATGAAATTCTTATTACATTTTACTTCAGTATATACAAGAATACTGATGTACATATTAAACAATTAAAGCGATTTGTTGATCACTTTTACCAATTATGTAAATTAAACAACTAATTATGATCTGGGAGAAATAAACAATGACTATAGATGTATTTCTTATATAATCATGAATAGTTGCATAATGTAAATAGTCGTTGTTATATATATAAGGAGAGAGAGTTCAGAGTAAAGTGCGATTAAGATGTAACTGTAAATAGTATTCTTCGTTGAATAACCTGTATTATGTTATTCATTGTTTTATGCATCAAATATTTATTCAACCTGAAATAGTTTCACAGAGAATGGAGAGCACTGAATAATTAGAATAGTCAAGGCTATAATGTTTCATGTTGATATAAATAAGCTGTATTTTGATTTTACATTATTCACCACCTGAAAAATATTCTATTATTCTAGTATATAGATTTTAATGAAGAATAACAAATCAATGATTATTTGATCATACTATATTATATATTGTAGTTCACTTATATTGCTAAAGTAATATAGATCATTAAATTTTTCTCTCCTTAAATAACAATCAGAACTGTGAAATTCAGTAATAAACTACTTCTTTGAAAATGAGAAATATAAATGAAGACAGTCAATGATTCAAACAACTTAATATAGACTAAATATGAAAATCTTATAGAATGTAAAATAAGGCGTGGTGTTGTGTTATTCTCTGTAATTAATTCCAAATAAGAGATATCGATAAATTATGACGATTTAGATAGATAACTAAAATGTATTCATGATGAACAAATGTATATTCAATTACTGATTAGTTTCATAGAAGCTAACCGACACAACTGAAATTGCACTTAAAACAATTATTTATGTACTACAATGTATAGAAAATTAGATCAGTATCATAACATTAATTTCTCAGAAAAAAACAATCACATGATGATCCATGAGATCATAGACACATCAGGACAGTGACTTAAGTAAGTAGGTTGTCATAACAACTGACAATCCTTTATTCTGACTAGAGGAAGAAGTTAAGGGGAAAAATCAAATTGAAGACAATATTTTGTTTCTAAAACGCAGTTCTCGTTTGATTTTAAGAGTTGTTGAAGCTTCATAACAAAAAATTGATTGAAACGTTAATGAATTGTAATGATAGATTTACATTCCAATACAGTACCTAGAAGATCATAGAGTTAAAATGAATTGATAAAAAACACGCTTGTATAACCAAAACAACCTCTAATTAATTAGTTAGTAGATAGCCATTTAGGTGGACTAAATGGACAACAAAGTTTTTATGCATCCATTGAAATAAACCAGATACCTAGGAGCTCACCAAAAGGCTTCCTTAAAGTTAGTTTTCATGAAATTGACCACAATATCATCTTCGACTATAAAATTTGAAGACAGACTTCTTTGGTTAGGCAGGAAATCTATTATTTTGTTGTCTTAGTATGAAAGTACTTCTGCAACAGATTTGGATTGATAATTATTTAGCATGAAAATCTACCAATATCTTTCCAGTTCCCTACTCTTTGTGTTGTCAGTAAATATCTATCTAGTTCACGAATAACTGAATTATGTTCTGATTCAGTCCCACTTGATTTCAGAAATTTTTTAATTCCCTCTTACGAATTCACTCGCGAATCGACTTTGTTAAGTAGAAACTAGTTCTTTCAATTACACATTCACTCACTGAACTTCATCTTGGATCCTAATGTTGGTTTAAATGACTAGTAATGAGTATTAAAGTTCCCGAATTTTATATCTCCGTTGGAGTTGGTGAAATGATAATTTATACATCTTTTTGTTATTCTAAACCAGATAAAAACTGTACAAAATACGTTACTATTGAAGAACCCGATTATTCAGAATTATTTACTTCTGCTACAACTCATAGAAGAGTATAGGTCACCCACCACCATTCTCCATCCAACTATGTCTTGACTAACCCTATACATTTGTTTCATTCCTTTCACATCTGCTTACAATTCTCGATGCAGTATGTTCTTCGGCCTTCCTCTTTTCCGTTTCCCTTCACGATTTTCAGTTAACACTTATCTCGTGATGCAGTTTGGTTATTTCCGTAATTTGCGTTTTATCCACTCCCCACCTCTATTCATAATTTCCTCCTCAGTCGGAACCTGGTTTGTTCTCTCCCACAGTAGGCTGTTGCTGATGATATCCGGCCAATGGACATTGAGTATCTTGTACGGACAATTGTTTATAAATACTTGTACATTTTTGATGATGGTTGAGGTAGTTCTCCAAGTTTCAGCTCCATACAATAGCACTCTCTTGACGTTCATATTGAAGATTGCGACTTTGATATTAGTTGTTTTGAGTTGCATATGTTGGTTCACCCGTAGGAATGCTGATCTCGTTTTGTCGATCCTCGCCTTGATGTCTGCATTAAATCCTCTTCGTTCATCGATGATGCCGTATTGGCATGTGGATATTCCCACCTCTTCAGAGTTTCTCCATCAAGCGTGACCGGGTTGGTGAGCTTCGTGTTGAATTTGATGTTGCTTTTTCCTTTGTGTATGTTAAGGCCTGTAGTGAACAGAACAAGGGTGAGGACAATCGAATGTATCTGACACAAATTACAGGATTTGTTAATAAAATCTAACAATCATAAAGTAAATGCTTAATTTGCAA